TTGTGAATACATATTCTCGTTAATGAACTTTATTGTAAATAACCAAGAACTCTTTCAAACTAATTCTGCTGTACACAGTGTCAACACAAGGAATAAAAATAAGCTTCATAGACCAATTGCCAACCTCTCATGCTTTCAGAAGAGTGCATATTATGCAGGGATCAAAATTTTCAACAGTCTACCATCAAATCGCACAAGTCTTGTAAATAAAAAGGCACAATTTAAACTAGCATTAAAAAGATACTTAATTACACACTCCTTTTACTCTTTCGATGAATTTCTAATGTTTACAAGTAAGTCATAATTTATCTATTGTGTATGAGTGGATTTATTTGTAACTTATCTCTACTTCATGTGAACCCTTTGTTTGTATTTTTGTGAAATTTATATAATAGTATGACTTGTATTTGTATAACATGTATTGTATTATTATGACTTATTCTACATCCTATTGTCATCTGACTAACTTACGGATCATGGAATGTAATAAAGATGTATGTATGTTTTACTGTAAAGCTAATCAGCTGTTCAAGTTGTGGTGTTCTGGATTGAACTACCATATAGTCATTGATAGCCACATGGCAACACTATCCTGAAGACATCAATCCACAAATTCACTGCTATGAGCTTCAAATTATACATATTTTGTTGTATTTTATTACATGCACTGCATATAGAAAGTGTTCAAATAAGCTTTATATTAACAAGCTTTACAGATATCCTTTTTTCATATGGGAAAAGGTGACTTAAAGCCAGACTTTACTTTTGTGGTTAACTGTTAGCAGTATGTGAGTGTGACATATATAAGCTGGACTGTGAATAAGATATGATGCATGGATGATAGGTATTAAACAGCATTAATCAGTTGATCTTTATAACAGTAAATTACTGTTTTATTTAAGGTATGGAATTAATTCTTAAATATTACTTAGATGAGCTTTGGCTTCAAAGCATAAATGAGAAACATATGAATGTTTTATATTAATACAAATTTTTTGTGATGTAGTAATGCTTGAGAAATCTGATAATCTGTTTTCACTTTAATATGAAGTAAGGGCAGGTATATTAAAATATGAATAACTCTTGTGACAAATGATTACACAAATTTGTAATATTTTACAGTTATATAAGCAACTTATTCATCTTATGTGCCAGCAATTCTTAAAAAATAAAAGCTTTTACTTTTACCATTCCTGAGCAAAATCACAGACAAACCTTGAACTTGGCCACATCTAGCCATCTGTCTACAGCTGGTTCAAACCACTCATAGTAGAGGTTGATAGCAAGCACCTTTTGGTCTGGAACTGGCAGGTGTTCCCGGAAACTATAACATGTAAAATATGTGTTGTTCACTACATATTTAAATGGATGAAATTTAAAATGATTATGGTAAACAGTTTTCTTAGAGGTTTCTGCCAATAGTTTAATATCATAATTATAAAATTTTCTTTGAATGTTGACAAATATCAGGATAAAAATATATATGGAGACTATTTATCCAAATTCAAATACAAAAAAGAAAAAAAGGTACCTAATGATAAGGATAATGATAAAACCTAATGATAATGATGATGACTAGGTTTTCTGCTTTTTTTATATTCTGATAATGATAATTTATTGTATAAAAGAAGAATACAGAATCTCTATTAGATACTAGTAAGGAAGTTGGTCTAGAAGCAGATGTGGAGAAAACTGGTTATACCTTAATTTCTTATCACCAGACTGCAAAACAAAATCATAACAAATTGTCTATTTACTTTGAGTTTCTGTGGAACAATAATATGTAATACAGTATTACATTTGCTTTAGGACACACTGTATTTGGTGAGCTACAGGACAACTGAAACTAATCATGGAAGTTGTGGATTCCGTCATCTTTCAAAAAAATCTTTATTTCAGCAGACAGCAAGTAAACTGACCTGACCATTTCCTGCATGGCAAGATACAGCTCAAAAATAGGAGTGGCCACCTCAGTTTCTTGAGGGAGTGTCACTTCCTCTACCATGGCCCCTAGATCCATTGACTGCATCTGAATGCAAAGAGCTGTCACCTGTGGTCCAATGTCTCCATGAATCTGCATAAAGCAATAAGAAATAAGGTTAAACAATATATTTAAATAGAACACTATTTGAAATATAGAGATTCATGAGCAGTATTAATATTGCTAGTATCACTGTTGAGTTAAAGGTTAGGTTACGTACACACATTCATATGGTTACAGTTCATGCACATGCATTCTACAGCAGAAAGACCAACAATGATTTTCAAGGCCACATTTAATTAGGATAACAGGGTCCATCCTACTGTATTATTATTCTGAATTTTACAGCAGACTGAAACAGGTGTAAATAAGGTTAAATTCATTCCTCTAATTTCATAGCTGTATATATTTATAGATAGACTCTATTGGTACTACAAATTGGATCTTACCAACACTGCCTCAATGTAGATGTTCAAGAAACTGATATGATAATTTAAATGTGAGTTTTGTTGTATACTGGTTGTCACTGATGAAATAAGCTGGTAAGAAACATTAATTTGTCAATCTAGCTTATTAATTTTATTGTAATTTCACACAACCTGTTATTCATTTAATTCTGCCTTCAAAACTATAACAAAATAATTACTGGTATTAATTCTGTATAAAAGTAATCAATAATGTTGTACATATATTAATACATATTGTATGTCTTAGATCAACATTTTGATAGCCTAAATTAAAAAAAGTTTGTACATAATAGACATTCATGGCATGCAAAGCAAAATTGTTTTTCATAACATGGTAATACAAGTAGCTCCTCACTAAACATATTTTATATTAGCTCTGGTATATTATTCCTGGACCCACAGAACTTACAACACCTCTCGTCAATAACATTTCAATAAGTGAAATGAGAGTTTAACTAAAAACCTGAAATATAACAGAGAGATATATTCAGACACACACATTCTCCAAAATTCTGTTCACAAGTGCTGCACATGTAGTAGTATGTTGAACTATTAAAGTCAGTTTGGCATTCAAGACAGTTACACATGAAAATAGCTTTTATTTCATGGCATTGCATTTCTACATACATGTTACATTACTGTTTTAAAGAATCAATAACTATAACAAAAATCTATTTCATATGTACTAAGAGTAATCCTATTGAATCATATGTATATATAGAATGTAAGAGAACCCCTTATGTGTATGCATCTTTTATGCCAGTTGTGAACTACTAATAAATCAGACACTTTTTGATACAGTTAATTTGTCTACCATGTCAACTAAAACATGCCTATTTTCACTTTATTCAGTTCTGTTCTACACACCAACCCAAAATGCAACTATAATATATTATTTAGAGTAACTTTAGTGCCAAATATGAAAAACGTATGATAAAAAACTAGTACACTTTCAACTACTAAGGTCAAGAGAAATTCAAAATCTGAAATTCTAATGTAAATATTTTAATAGAGATAAAGAATAGATGCGAGGAGTTATCAGTGCTTGCTGTGAAACAGTTAATTCATTACAGTGCAGTATTGAAAGGAAGGTAACATGATAGCCCATGAAATATGATACCACTGAATCCCTGAGAATTAATTGCACAGAAGGGTTCAATATCAAGTACACTTGTAATCAAAAGAATGAGACTTTGTTTCTACAATGGATTATGCTACTATGTTAGGTTTTGGATTTTCCTAATTGTATAACAGACTCATACAGCAGCTTGTTACTCTAATTTAAAGACTGTTGAGTTTGAAACTCAATATGAAGCAGAGCAACTTAACTCAAAATTAAGAAACCAAGAACTTTTCTCTATGTCGGTCAGTCGTATTCTCTCAAAAATACTATTTTCAAACTCTCCTGCTAATAGTATAATTTACCATGATGTTTAAAGAATTGCTTACAGATGTCTGAAATGGAACTCAGCAGTGTAAACCACGGAAGTGACAGAGGCTCTTGGTCCTGATTACAACAATACTTAGAGAATTAACTCCCATTATGTAATTAATACTCTTGGACAGGATTGCAAATACATGAAATGCTTGACACTACACTAATTACAGGAACATATAGTGCAGATTTAGTTCCAGCAGACACACCAACATGCAACTAGCAGTAATGTAACTGCAACCAAAATCATTCCATATTTGCCTGAATATAATGCACATATCTTTACTTCAATTCAACCTTTCACAAATTTAGGCACACATTATATTCAAGTTAATATGATATCGAGGCAGGAAATAAATAATACAGCAGCAATTTATTTCTGTGTGTGTTGTGAATTTTCTAAAACTATGATGTGTTCTATTTGTGAGAGCTCTGTATGAGGTGTGGCATTGCAGCTAAATTGTGTTTGTTCACATTCTGTATACCTCAAAAAATTCCAGCTCTTTGCCCACATCTTCCGCCAACTGGGAACAGCAATAAGATTGTGTTGTTGATTTAACTACTAACACTTTTACATTGAAAGGATCAACTTTGAAAAGACATTTACTGTTCTTGCATTGTTCTCACTTCATCCTGTTATCAGATGCTAAACTAATTACTGATTGTTTCTGATGAGGGCATATTTAACAATTGTTAATTTACAATACACATACAAAAAGAAGGATGTTTCCATCATAAGACATGCTAATGAATATGGAACCTAGACTAGATCTCCATGATTACATTTCCCATTCTCATATATGCCTCATGATGGAAACAGGTCAGTTTCCAAAATGTTACATTTTATCAACATGATAGGAAATCTGGATTACGGAGTTTTTAGACTTTGTCCATCTTGTGTTAAAAAAACTCATTAAACCAAATTATAATACACCATTATCAGAACCTTTTACAATTAAAGTTAGGAAATGTACACATAACATTACATTTCTGGCACATTCATTCTGTCAGTGGCTCTAAATTTTTAATTCATGAATTCTATTGTGTACTCTCTTATTAACAGCATAAAATTGTTGGGGTAGATAAGGACTTACTCTACAAAATCTGATCAAAATCAGTCTAACAGTTCTTGAGTTAGAAGACACTATAAATATCCCTTTTGTTTAATTATCTCAAAAACTCTAAGACTTGTACACAAAATTGCACTGGGATAAGATTTTCTCTAATTCACATAGCCTCCTATGTAACAAGTTCTGAAGAGTAATGGAGTAAAGTCATCAACCATGAAACTGACTATTCACCTTAGTACTGAGGTGTATAATTCATGGAGTGTTGCCTCCTGTTGCTGTATGCCTTCATGGATTGTTGTTAAGGTCTAAGGTATCTCTAACTTTATTATTACAAGAACACAAGAAACTGAACAGATGAAGTGAGTACAAACAAGTTGGACTGATGAATACAGTAAGGCACAACAGAGAGAATACAGATCTTCACATTCAAAATCTGGTTTGGAGACACATGACAACATCAACAACAAGGGGTACATATAACATTATTTTTCCAACAGTACCCTATATATACTGAGAATTTACAGGTTAAAAACAGAATTTCCTTAAAAACATGTCAACAGAAATTCTGAACTTGTTCTGATATCAGTATTGCTTATACCTGAAACAATAATTCTATTTTATACTGTTTGCCTTTTCCAAGAATTAGTGCAATATATTTAACCCCTTTCAGTGTCACCATATAACAAATCCATAAGTTTATTAAATTGTTAAATTTTTTAACACCTGGGATAGATTATTAAAGTGTCTGATTATAGGTGGAGCTTTACTGCCACATTCTCTACACACCTTCATGGAATGGCAATTAGACACAGGGATAACTTTATCCTGGCATTTTTACAGGACTGAAACATTTGCATACCATTCAAATTTAAATTAGAACTTTATGCAACACTTTTCACTGTCTAATTGTTCTTGGAATTGCAAGTGGTACAGCATGGGTCTCGCTTTACTGACTCTCGCTGGTAGAAACCGATCTGGTTGAAATTCGGTCAGTTAATGCAGGAGTCAGATAATTGAGGGTCGGTTAACAGAGGTTTTATTGTATGTGGAATAATAGTTTCAAGACATATGATGTGGCAAAGCATCAGTTACAGTTAGAACTATCTTAACATTAAAAAATGTGCTTAAAATATGTCTTATATTGCACAAATTCTATTTAAAAAAGAAAACCATTTACTGACTGATATAAGGGACCAGCACACCAATGACAAAACACAGAACCAGATACTTTGGACTTTCCTGATATGAAAACAATGGTGCTGTTTTGTCATCACCAAGTAGGCCTGGAATCACTGTTACATTCCTAGTCTAAATGTCCAGTTTCTAAATTGTTATCTTACCAGGTTTGTATATAAAAATAATTATTTTAATTACTTAAATTAAAGACATTTCATTAATGTACAAGTACAAAACATATTTTATGAAATAGTCCTACATATTAATACAATATATATTTATTCAACCTGTCATATACAAATTACAGAGAGCGGAAAATGATTTGACATGATAGGTTGATACCACTTGTTAATACGTACATGATAAGATTAATCTAATGGATCCAGAAAATAGCAAATAAGAAAGACTCATTGTATGTTTCACAGACTGTAACATGTACAGGTATTTTAATATTATCATGTAAAGATATGGGTACTTACCATTTTTTCCAGCTGCTTGTACACGACACTAAAATAAGGAACCCCATTTGTCCTGCAAACATAAACGAATAAGATTAACAATCACAGTAATAGTTATTTTAATGAAAGTGTAATTAATACACAACTGGTGTAGTGTTGATTGTGTCTTGGATTTTGATGTCAGAATTCATTAGAATCGCATTACATAACCCTTTTATAAAAATAGTGAAAAGCCTCACTAATAATTATCATGGTTTCAGCTTCCATCTGTGTGACTTACAATGTAGGTGACATTTTTAATCCAAGGTTTTCCAGCTAATACTTCATTTGTCATATATATATATATATATATACATTTCAGCCGATGTGATTTATATGCACGACAGAACAAATAAATTGAAAAAGAGGATACAAACAACAAGAAACATATAATATATACAGGTCACCTAACAGAGGAAACAAGAAATCCTGTGTAATTTTTATGGGAAGCATCTTGAATAGCAGTAACATGAAAGTATGAGTGGAAATAGGACGATAAAATTAAAATTAAACTTATGGGAACAGTAGATAAGGACGTGAAAATTATAAGAAAATCAATAATGTGTCCAGTAACTTTATTTCACATTTGCTATACTGAATCTTAATGTTCACTTATTACAGTGTTAATTAGTTAATAATTGATTACAGACAGCGGAAATAAGAAATAAATATTAATGAGAATATTTGAAAGGAAGAGAAGCCACTTTTAAGATCTAGACATGGATGAAATAAAATGAAAATCGAATCTACAGAAGAAGGTTCTGGTTTCTGCTGGCTGAAGATAGCATACAATGGCGGGCTTTTTGAACAGCTGATTAATTATCAAGATTTATGGACAGACTCTGGATCATAGAACCAGTTCATTATCTAGTTAGTTGGCTAGTCAGTCACTCAGTCAGCAATTCATTCACTTTATATCTTAAAATGTTGTAATTTTATGTAATTTTAAGTAAAAATTTTAACAACATTTTAAGTTTGTGTATCGACGGTGAATGAATTATTATATTAAATTCATTCACTAGTTGATGTTCCTTATTCAAACTGATCCACAAGCTATGAGGTTGTTTCTTCAAAGATTTAATAAAGAGACCATAAATGTTACTTACGTTTCAAACAGACTATTGTAATAATCCAGTCCTTTCTGCAGATCAACCAACAGCAGAGTGATGAGGTGAACGAGACCTTCAATCACCATTTCGCTGCCTCTCGTCATTGATAAATGTTCTTCGCTATGGATTTCTTCATACCTGTGAGGGATGTAATATTTGGTTAGAATATCACATGCATTCCTTGTCCTTAAGCGGTGAACAAAAATTGAGAAGTTGATGTATAATTTGATATTTAAGGTGCAGCATGTTGAGAAAATTATAAGAGTTAACACACATTTTGATTTTGCTCATCATACAAACTCTTTTTAAATGAATTTGTGAAAGCCTTCCTCTCTGTTCCTGGGGGTGTCCAGCTCCTCAGATCTTCAAAATACCTAGAAATACTAGTGGATTTATGCGCTCATCAACAACTGAGGTTACTAATACCTATCTTCTGTTTAAACCCTTTACAATACAAGAGAGAATGCGAAGAATTTCATTTATAAATACACAGATTTTCAACTGAATAGAGAAGGACTACAGTTCATTATCTTTATATTCCTAAACTTATTTTTTACTTAAAAAGAAATAAGATTTTCCAGATAGAAGTAATAAACCTACTGTCTTATAGCACAGACTCTGAGAATTACATCTTATGTTGTCTAAATAAAGTCATTTATAATCTAACAGCAAAATGCAATTCAATATTCTGGTCTTACGCGTAGAGGGTCATCCTCCAATTTCCAGTTTTCAAAACAAATTTATTACCAAATGATCTAACCGCTTCAGTTTCACCGTGTTGGGCCACCCGCCGTACTCCGTCATATTTCCAGCTTTTCCCGAAACTGAAGGAACATCTGAGAGGGAATTATCTTATCAGGCGACGAAGTCAAGACAGCTACGTAGTTGTTCCGTCAACAAGACGAGCAGTTCTAAAGTGACTTACGAAACTACGCGAAAGTTAGTGGAAGTGTGTAGACTGCAGTGATATATTAAGGTAACTGCTTAAAATTAAAGATAGCGTTTTTGATTCAGCAAAATGTATGTTCCCGTTATTGAAAAAATAGATTAGGCAATACTTTTCAGCACGCCTTCGTATTTTTCGTTGCTTTACAAAGTTATTAAAGGAATATAAAACGACTCACGTTTACTAAACCACACTACAGAGGATTATGAAAAGCCCCTACCAGTTCCGTACGTGTAATTAATATAGTCAGGTTATAGACATGGCCAAATTCTGAGTATTAAAGCTAATTGTGTTCGCCTGCAAAATGAAGGGAGAAAGTACTGACTTTTTAAATCCTCTGTACATAAAAGGGATGGAATAACGGCCACGTACATACAAACCTATACCAACTATACTGAAATACCTGATTTTATATCAATGGCAAAACTGAACTTTGAGTTAACAGCGTACTAGGTAGATTTTAATGAACTTATGTTTTATACTCATGTTTCTCTACCGACCGTGAAATTTAATTAGAGAGTGTAAGGCGCCCTAAATCACACAAAACGGGAGCAATGGATAGCACGTTTTTATTCGGTTAATTCTGACTAAAATATTAGAAACTTGTTTCAGCTACTTTCTCCTGTAGGATTCGATCCACGTAAAAACTAGCAGCAAGTATGAATGAACAAGAGTGGAAAGGTTCAGCCTAATTTACTTCAATGAAAATTCTATCAGCATACTTTTTTGACGTCGGTGTTCACTTACTTCAGATGGAAGTCACTGTTACAACACTAATCATACTACAACATCACACAACCTTGAGCCACGGTTTATTTTTTTTATCATTTCCCGAAATTTGCGAGTACTATGAGGTAAATTCATAGTGTTGACAGAGTATACGCAACATTATCATAAAAAGCATTGTCAGTGGTGGCTGATGATACGATGGTGAATGAGTCGAATGGTTCCTCCTTTATGCTGAAGAGAAAGGAACTGTTTGCTTGAAACTTATTACGTGAAACTGGGTTCCTTCGTGCATGACCGTCCTCGAGAAGAGAATGAGACAAGACATTTCTAAACCTTAATAAGCCTGGAAAGATTCAAACGCAGTTAAACAATCTGTTCGGGCTTACCACATGATATAGCATCACGCTTTTAATCAACTAAGTTTTCTGCCAACACTTGCAACTTGTCAGTTTCAAAATTACATATTATAAAGTTAATTCTTTACAACACAGTGCTACGACCTGCTTCAACTTTCAGCAGCCTGAAATATTGTCCTCGCTACTTACAAACGACTTTCGTTCTGGTTCTCAGAATAATCATCACTATAACCTACAGAAATTATACGACGTCAATGCGCGTTGTATTAGGTGTTCTTCACGCTCTAGCGTGAGCGAAGAACACCTTATTGGCTCGTCTGTCCGTCTGTTTCCGATCCCACTTGCGCAAAATAGGGCCTGGATCACATTAGTGCAATAATAACCTAAGACGTATCAATGATCTGAGATCACATTTGTACTAGAATGAACTAACGCCAACAACTATCTCGGATCAAAGAATGTGTCGTAAAAAATACATCTGGAATGTAAGTGTGCTTCAAAGAGTATACATTTCAAATCTCGTTAGATTTATCTCTGATTTATTGTTTGATGTGCTGACAGTCGTCTTTAAAAGGTGCAGTTCGGTTGTGTATAAACGCGTTAACTAATGGAGAACGGCGTCCGTTTACCTGTCGCTCAGACAATGCATTCGTATTCCCAACAGTGACACTGACATTTATTAAGTCTGTTTGTTGGAGTTTGCAATGTTCCCATCAGAATGTAACAGCCAAAGGGCGAGTTTAGTACTTAGAAGTGTAATCTTAAATATGTATATTATAATTACTTCCGAATCAAACAGTAACAATAAACAAGATGAATTTAGAATACTATTACTGTATTTACCCGAATATAATTCTCACTTTCTTCTCAAAGTATCTCCAGAAATGCCCGTTTAAATAATTGAGTACGTCACGAGATACAAAGACTGAAAACATTCTTATTAAGGACTAAATTAAGATATATATATATATAAATATTGATATGTCTTTGTTTTATATATTTAAAAACTATTGAAATAAATCTTTCTTACACTCTACATGTATGAACATTTCTTCCAATTTATCGTCTTAAACTTCTGATACGCATTTCATTCGAGCAAATACGATAAGAAAATTCCGTATCTTGGAACACTCTATTACAAGGCAATGATAAATCCACAGAATGAGACTCACCATTCCAACGTCCCCTTTTTCAATGACATGATGATTTCACCTCTGATTTCTTTGTTGAAAGGGCAGCATTTCCAAAAGGCTTTCATTGTGGAAATTAAACCCAAACACCTGTTTCAACACACCAAGTTTGTATGTTAAACACTGCTAAATCTGCTTGAAGTATCGGATAGGGTTTGTCTGTCGCAGTAAGGATTACAAAGGTAATAAAAATAATGTTAATTAAACAATTATTTAATATATAAGTTCGCACGGCAGCCAAGTTGCTCTTACTTATAACACAAAAAATTGCAAAGTTCTGGGTGGTCTCAGGTACAAAGTTTCTTGAAATTCTATCAGATGGTTCAAAATATATTCCGTGGTGCAGACACACAGATATCATGACACCATGAGGATCTAATAACTCGCCATTTGCCTTCATTCTACGCATTTCAAGTAAAGAAAGCATTATATCGGCACATCGCGCGAGGTCAGTTCACGATACACCACAGATTTGTCACCGCTGTCTGTAACATTTATTTGAAATCTTTTTCACGTCCTTTACATTAGAAAGAACACAGAGATAAAAAAGTATATTTGCCTATATTCAGCGTAACTGCAATGATTGAAAGGACGAAACATAAAGAACTGATTTGGAAAATGTGTGATCCAATTTTAAAATTTAACCTTCTTCAATATAGTGCAAACATTTTAGTAAACAGAAAATTCACTTCTCACCATAAAATTGAGGAAAGGCTGTGTTTATACTCCTTTAACGTGACATCATTTCATATTTACAAGGCAGACTCTTGAACACGAACTTCAGCACTGTTGGCTGAGTGGGGTGTGAACCCTCGTGAGCGAGAGTAAACACTGGCGGAATAGAAAAAGAGTAATCTGTTCCTCAACGGACAGATAGACCACCGATTGATATAGCAATGAAAATGGACGTATCAGGGCAACATAGGTCTAAGCGTCATTTTGTTTCGAATAAAATCGAAGGAGTACGCAAGCAGACGTCCGAACTCAGTACTGATTCCGATGAAAGTTGGTACGGTAGACGAATACTAAATTTTGTCAAATTGTTTTGATTATAGCTTGATTTGATTAAACTGCTTTGCAAGAATTAAAATTAAATTCACTGACTACCTACTTTGAACCGTCTGCCAAAAATCTGTTGTAAGAAACTTCTGTCGTACAAGTACGAATCTCACAATTCATAACTATAATTAATTTTACACACCTCAAGTAACACTTTTAAGGACCCACAAAAACATGTATTATGCCTTACATACAACAGTACAACATAATAAATCTTACGTTTTGTTTCCCCTTAAACTTTCAAGTTCGGATGAAAAACTGAAATCGAAAAAAAAAGTCGAATTTCCTTTCTAAAATTTATACATCGAGCCAGTTTATATTTAGTAGTCCCTAAGAGTCACGTAGTTTTCACTTTAAAATCAATTTATCTTTATTTGTTGACAGTAGCCCAGTAGACCTAGTCAATGACGAAATAGGAGTCAGCAAAAGAGATTTATTAAAAATACATTAATTTACAGACTGAAATTTTGTGCTATTTTGACGTATTGTCCCGTCATTTGCATGGCGGTGCTGAGAAAAAACAACAAAATTTCAGCTTATTCCAGACAGTTTCAAACCCGGGACTTCGCAAACTTGATCAGAAATATTAATTACCTACGAAGTTTGGTTAATCTTGTTTATATCCGTGAATTCCTGCACTGGGTACGCCTATCTTTTGATACAAACAATATCCAGGTCTATTACCCTCATTAACTTCGCCAATAAAGTCCACGCAGATGACACTGTGATAAAGGCTGTCCTTTTGTTACACGCCTTGCCAAGGGGAGCTGTGGAGCATAAAAGGGTTTGATCAAAAAGTGTGGACAACTACATTCAACAGGGACAGGGAAATTTAAAAATAATATTTTTAAAACCCGTTAGCTCTTTTTATAACGCACAACACGACTTGCTACAAGATCTCTCTGCTGTTTCATATCCTGTGTTATTTAAAGCTTTTACGCGGTGTTTATTATATGGTATGTGCAATGACTGTGAAATTTTGAATTTACATGTTACTTCTACTCGCGTGGTCTACAAAATACGACAACAGAAATGAGAGCCTGTTCGGCCCTGCTTTGTCATCTGCTATTATTTGTTTAATGTATACTGTCTCAATATTTTTATATTTGTTATATAACCAATTTTATAATATGCCGGTGCCAGAGTAAGGGACAAAAATTACACAATTTCAGGAAACGAAATACATTTTCCGAAAAGCAGGATTTTGAGTTTTCACGGCTGCGTGTACAAAGATGGTTCTGCGTGTGGACAATTAAATTCTCTTCAAAATCGGCAAACCCGAAGTTATTGGTTTCTCGCAATTTTCTCGGCTTTAATATCGCCGCTACTATTCACATCATTTTCTTATAACTTAATATCTAGCTCTTTGGCAACAACGTAAATTAGAATTCGACGTCACTAGATTCATTTCTACTGATTGCAATTTCTGATCGAGGTTGGGCGACTCGAAAAAGTGATAGCTTCGCGTTCGGAAAGATAACGGATACGTCGACTGCACGTTCTTGTGGTTTTCCTCAGTCCCCCCCAATCAGATGGCACGGTGGTTTGTTATCACAGTCGCTAATTTCTTATTTATAATTAATCATTCTCATAACACTCAATTTTAATCTCGCACAAGAACCAGAAGGTGCCGATAATCATTAAAAGCCGGTGAGAGATTCGCATCGTCGTCGCCGTCGCCATCTGTTTTTGATACAGTTAGTCTCCGCATGCCCACTAGGTCTATCGGCGACAACACTACCTTTACCGAACATCGTAACTTCGAGGTTAAATGCGTTTCTGCTGCCAATGCAGTCTGTAGGAACATCGACGTCTTTAACAAAGATCGTATTTTGCTTACCGATTTCAGTCGGCTTTTCAAAAATTATAATTGTGATCAGTGAAATTAAGCCCATTTACTTGAGAATTATCACTCAATAAAGGAATTGAATTGAATTGTTGTTACTCCACCGGGCGATAACTTGCCATGCTCGTCTGTCTGTTGGGGGGGGGGGGGGGGGGG